TGTTTCTCGTCTACCATCGGCCGCCAGTGAGGGATATCGACCATCTTGAAGTTTTAAAATTGAATTGTAGAGCACCATTTTAGTTTAAAATTGTTAAGGTTTTAATGTAATCTATGTTTTATTTCCGGCGCTGCCGCTTGTTTGCCGCCCTGGGCCGTAAGGGTAGGGCGGGATACAAATCTCAAAATAAATAAATATAAAGAAATATAAATAAATAAATAAATATATCATGGGAATAATACAGAGACCTTTCTATTGCTGTTCTTGTTTCCTGTGTATTACTTTTATTCTTACGTTTTAATTATTTGTAATAGCTCTTCTACATCTAGAGACACATTTTAAACACACAATAAATATTAGTTTGTATGTACTCAAGACCCCCTTGACCCTATCTCCAGCTCAAAGGGGGTTGGGGAAGACAGGTGCAGGAAGATTCAAAGTATTCACTCAAATCAGAAGTCACAGGTAAGGAAGCTAAGAAGAAAGAAAGAGTGAGCCTGAGACACTCTCATATCACACTGGAAAAGTGACATTTGATTAGAACTTTTATTGGAGCAAGTATTCTTAAACTCAGTATTCTTAAACTCAGTGGAACTCACCTCCAAGTAAACATTCCTAGAATTAGGGTTCAAAGAATAAACAAACTTGATTATCTGCACAGATATGAAAAACTGTATGTTATACTCACTGTAGGTTTATTAGTTCCTCAAGAAAAAAGTGTATGAAAAATATTTTGCTAGGTAAAGTCTTGACTCCCTACTGTTAAAGGTGGGTTCATTGCATTACCCAAAGTCTGATGTCATACAGATGGCTTTTCCAGATGCACAAAAACCAACACAAGCATGATGCTAAACCTAATACACTTCTGGTGGACAGGAATGTATATATGATGTAACAAGAAACACAACTGAAATAGCAGGTAGAATCCAAATTTGTTACAATTTAATACCAAAACAATGTTGGGATCCAACTGGTTGATGTTTTCCTAGCCGAAAAACATAGTATTTTTAAAAGACAAAACTTGTAAATAGATGGTTGAGTTTGAATGACTTCAACAAGATCCAGATGTAAGATTTAAGTTTTAATAATGCTGTTATCATTGCAAAGATTCAAGAACAAGAATATTAAGGATCAATAGAAACATCTTCAATATGCTTGGGGGGGAATCCAGGCTGCTTTTCCAAATTACTTCTAGCAGATATAAAAGTCATCTCATGAATTATGCACGTTTTAAAATACATGGAAATGAAATATCATGAGGGTAGTATTACAGACATGTTTGAGAGACCTGCAAACTTGAATTGTTTCTGAAAGCTCACCCTATTCAAGTTTTCTCTCTTAAAAACATATTGTCATCCATCTAAGTCTCTCTTCTCCTCAAAAACACATAAAAGCAAGCCTAAATATGTTCAGTTGGAAGCAATTCTCTCATCTCTTTCAAGAGCACTTCCCAGTAAATGCATTTAAAATGGGAACATAAGCTCTACTCAGGTGATGAAATGTTGGGATCAAGGTGAAAACTGAGCAGAGTGGAACACTACGTGGATTACAGCTGCATGCATCAGAGAACAGATCTTCTTGAGAGAACAGCATCTTCTCCACCTATATACTACTTAGGCATTGGCTAAGGGTGTTGGCAAGTAAAAACAATAATAAAATAAAAAACCTCCAGCTTGGAGGAGGGGTGATGCTTACGCTTCTAGATTTTGGTGCAATTAAAGTTAATAACTCCAGCAAGATTCTAGGTCTTATCTTATGCATGCACAAAAATATAAACAGGAGGGATCCAACTGCATCCAGTTTTCTCACATACATCTCCAGAGATATTTGCTTATCTAAAATGCAAGATGCATGTTAAACCACGAGAAGTTGTGGAGGGTTATTTTGCTGATCCTTCCCTAGCCCACCCACACCCTTTCTTACCTGATAATGTCATCATTGTGCCCCAAGAAAAATTTCTGGCTGTGCTCTCTGGTATTATAAACCACTCCGACTCCAGCTACGAAGTAAACCACTTCCTTGCCTGCCGTGTAGTACAGGTTGTTGCGGCACTGGTGACCCCTATACCCATACACCCACTCCAGACGGAGCTGGCATCTAGGAGCTGTCCGATCCGCCATGATAATCAACCCCCCCTGCCCACAAGCACACGGGGAAAAACTGGTGCTGCCCCCACCCCCACGTCCTTTGCCTTCCCCAGTTTCCCCCTTTCCAAACGCTGTCAATTCCCGCTTGGCTGCCAAGTCTTCAGGCTGCACTTTCCGGTGATGATTTTCAGTGGAAAATGCATCCAGACAGAGTCCTGCTCTGCTGCTACAGCCACCGCTGCTGCTGCTTTTCCTAGTGCTGAGCCGCCACCATAATCTTCTACTGCCAGAGACGAGCAGCTGCTGCTTTCCCGCTGTTTTGCAACCCGGACAACTTCAAGGGGGTGGGGGAGGCACACAGATACAGGAAATCAGTGCCATGCAAAACTGTGCGTGTCAATTCCATCCAAAGGAGAATGAGCTTGTTAGTGTTACAATCACTGCTTGCAGAATGCCAGAGCTGTGCATCCCCCCCTATTGCATCTTCCTAGCTTCTTGCAAAGGGAAAGTCCTTGTATTCAAACGCGTCTGTAGTTTTCAGTGGTGTAAAAAGTGCAGCTGATGTGCAAAATGAGATCAATGTGTTAAAATACCACTGATAAGGTTGTGTTCATTCTGACACAGCTTTGACTGTGGAATAACACCATCTTCTATGGATTTTCATTGTAAGGCATTTGCAACTTATTAGTGTGATGACAGGAAATTCCTGGAGGGAAAAATGAAATACATTAGTATGATAAACCACTCCAAAAGTTTTATTGATATTACAAAAACAGCCTCAGTCCTACTAAGCTGCTCCTCAAAAAACAGGAAACATTCTCCATTCACACAGAGACACATACTATTTCTATGTACAGGAGAGCAATGAAATTGTCCTTACATGGTTGTTGTTGTTCAGTCGCACAGTCGAGTCCGACTATATTAAAGATCGCTAGATTCATATTATACATCACAACATTCCCTAGGCAAAGTACACACTTCCTGTTTTCCATCCCCCCCCCACTTAAATCCAAAATTGATTTTTAGGCTTATCTGGTCTTGCTTACAGTTTCTCTACATTCGGTCTGATCATAAAATCATCTTTAAATTATCACTTACAAACTCAGTTCTTCTATTAAGACTACAGAGTTCTACTATCACTACAAAATCAGAGAGAGACTGGGGGAGGGGACTAGTACACAAGCCCAGCACAATATGATGCCCTGTACAGAGGCATGAATATCGAGAAGCAAGGAGAAGCACACAAACTGGGATGGGTAGGGGTGCTCTGTGTGCCCACTTCTGTCCCAGAGTCCAGTGCAAAAAGACAAAAAAGGGGCAGGCCAGTGGAGCCACATTCAGAGCCCAGCCCAGTATCAGAGTGACACATGGACAGGAAAAGGAGACGGGATCATAGGACAGCATATTCTTCCACAGAGCAGGTAAAGACAGCATTCCTTGATAAGGAAAGGTTATCTGTTCAAATTCAGCAACTAAACTAATAATTGTGGTGATCTATATACTAATAGCCAAGTCAGTGAAATTTTAGGATACTTAAATGTGGTGACTGGAGCTGTGAATGGGCAAGACATCTTTCTGCAAACCTGAAAGGGACCCCAGATTTGCATAAAAATGTGAAATCTAAAAAAAAAATACAATGGGGAATTAAAAAACTTGAAAATGATAAAGGGAGCACCTGTAGCTTTAAGCAATGGATCCCCTCAGTAGCTGTTGCTAGGCAATTGCAGTATTCAAGGGTGGGGTTTTGTGAGTAAAAAGGCGGGGGGGGGGGCTTTACGGGCCTATTTTGGCCTTTGACGGAGGACTCATTGGGGCCAGGCCTAACTAGGTTTGCCAGCTCCAGGTTGGTAAATCCTGGAGATTTTGAGGTGTAGTCTGAGGACAGAAGGGTTTAGGGCAGGGAGATGCCTCAGCTGAATATAATGCCATACAGTCCACCCTCCAAAGCAGCCATTTTCTCCAGGGGGACAGATCTCTGTCAATTCTGGGAGATCTTCAGACCCCTAGGCCTGACAGCAACCTCTGGGTGACTTGATACCACCCGACCTGCATGAGTCAACTAGGTCTGGCAGCTTGTGACTGTTCAACAGCAGCCATTCTATGAAAGCCAATGTTGTGTAGCAGTGAGAGCTTAAGAATAGCATCTGGGAGACCCAGGTTTAAATCCCCATCTTGCTGTGAAAGCTCACTGGGTGATTTTGGACCAGTCACATATTTTCAGCCAAACCTACTTCACAGGCTTGTTGTGAGGATACAAAGAAGGAGAGAAGAATAATGTGAGCTGCTTTTGTCTCCACTGTAAAGAAAGGTGGGGTATAAATGAAGTAAAGCTTTTGATAATGTTCCTCATCAAAGGCTCCTAAGTAAGCTCAATAGTCACAGGATAAAAGAACAAGTCCTTTCATGGATCAAAAACTGGCTGATTAATAGGAAACAGAGAGTGACTATAAATGGGCAATTTTCTCAGTGGAGGGTGGTAAGCAGTGGGGTACCGCAGGGATCAGTACTCGGTCCGATGCTTTTTAACTTGTTTATTAATGATTTGGAGTTAGGAGTAAGCACTGAAGTGGCTAAAGTTGCAGATGACACGAAGTTGTTCAGGGTTGTGAGAACCAGGGACGATTGTGAGGCACTCCAAAGGGATCTGTCGAGGATGGGCGAGTGGGCGTCAACATGGCAAATGGGGTTCAATGTGGCCAAGTGCAAGGTGATGCACATTGGAGCCAAAAATCCTAAATATTGATGGGGTCTGAACTGGCAGAGACTGACCAAGAGAGAGATCTTGGAGTCGTAGTAGATAACTCAATTAAAATGTCAAGACAGGGTGTGACTGCAATAAAAAAGGCCAACGCTATGCTGGGGATTATCAGGAAGGGAATTGAAAACAAATCAGCCAGTATCATAATGCCCCTGTATAAATCGATGGTACATCCTCATTTGGAGTACTGTGTACAGTTCTGGTCACCACACCTCAAAAAGGATATTATAGCTTTGGGAAAAGTGCAGAAAAGGGCAACTCGAATGATAAAAGGGTTGGAACACTTTCCCTATGAAGAAAGGTTAAAGCGCTTGGGGCACTTTAGCTTGGAGAAACGACGACTGAGGGGTGACGTGATTGAGGTTTCTAAGATTATGCATGGGATAGAGCAGGTCGAGAAAGAAGTACTTTTCTCCCTTTCTCACAATACAAGAACTCATGGGCACTAAGTGAAATTGATGAGCGGTCAGGTTAGAACAGATAAAAGGAAATACTTCTTCACCCAAAGAGTGATTAACACATGGAATTCACTGCCACAGGAGATGGTGGTGTCTGGGGCAGGTGATGCACTGTATTCTTGGTGCTTGGGGGGGCAACAGTGGGAGGGCTTCTAGTGTCCTGGCCCCACTGATGGACCTCCTGATGGCACCTGGTATTTTTGGCCACTGTGTGACAGAGTGTTGGACTAGATGGGCCATTGGCCTGATCCAACATTGGCTTCTCTTATGTTCTTAAATAAATAATAAATATAAGCTGAAGTTGGGAGGCAGATAAAAGGTAGGTTGCTCAATGGCTGAAAAGAAGAGAATGACGCAGGGAAAAGGGAGAGGATATGGGAGTTGCCAGGACAAGGGAAATTTGGGAAAGAGAAAATAGTGTGGAGGATACAGGGGAAAGTGAGGTGCCACCTCATAAGTCCTCGAGGGTTCCCTACCATGTAAGTGGGCCTGGTCCAGTGGTTGGCACCACACAACTGGGCCACAGTTTTCCTAAGCTGAGGCTGCCAGGGAGGGCAAAGAGAGGGAAAGCTTAAGACAGAGTGGCAGATAAAGGTAGGTTGGCTGTTGGGTGGGAAGAAAATAGGGTTGCCAACTCCAGGTTAGAAAATTCCTGGAGATGCAGTGAGTGGAGCCTGGGGAACATGGGGTTTGAGGAGGGAAGGGACCTCAGACTCCACCTCTCTTTTCCTCCAGGGACCTAGGGTTGCCAACCTCCAGGTGGGGACTGGAGATCACCCAGAATTACAACTGCTCTCCAGAGATTAGTTCCCTTTGGGAAAATGGCTGCTTCGGAGGATGAATTCTATAGCATTACCCTGCTGAGGTTGCTTTCTTGCCCAAACCTCACCTTCCCAAGGCTCCACCCCCAAATCTCCAGGAATTTCCCAATCTGCTTTCAACCATAAGGGGGAACTGATCTCTGTAGTTGGAAGATCTGTTGTCATTTCAGAAGACCTCCAGGCCCCACCTGGAGGTTGGCAACCATAGAAGGAGAGAAGTAAGCAGGAAAAGGGGAGAGGCTATGGTGACTTTCAGGAAAGGGAAAGAGGAAATCGTGGGAGAGGGAGAAATGAGATGCCTCCCACAAGTCCTTGCGGGTTCCCACTTGTATTAGTATATTTCAGCAACATAAAAGGAGCATCCTTTCCCAGTGGAAGAAAGGGGAGTTGTGGCAATGGATAAGGCCTTTCTGTGACTTGACACCAATTTCCAAAGTGAAAGATAAGTGTCTCTCAGGATAGTGTACATGGGATCATCCTAATTGTTTCTTCTCATGACAACTCATTGTGGTTGATTAGTATAAGAGTACACGATTGGCCCAAGGTGAGCCTCAGTGACCCCCAAGGCCGAGCAAGGATTTGAATCTGAACCCAGAGTCTAGATTCATCCACTATATGAAGCTGGCCTTGCACATTAAGTTCTTGTGGGGTTGCAAGATTTGAAGAGTGAAGGAGAAAATCTAGGACTTCAGTTCTACAAAGAAGAAATGACCGTTTCAAATGAAGTCTGAAACCATACTCTCTTACTGCACTGGAAACCCACCACACAAAGGAACGGTGTAAGGTTGCCAACTTACCAGGAAAAAAGTCCTGTTCAGCTCTTCTGCCTTTAAAAGTGGCTTTATGTGCCACCTTGAGCCATGAAAAAGGCAGAATATAAAAGTTTTAATAAAATAAATCAATTACTTTATTATTTTGTTTTCTTTATTTATACCCTGCTTTTCTCCCCAATGGGCCCCCCAAAATTACTTAAAACTTCCCTTCTCCATTTTATCCTCAAAACAACCATCTGAGGTAATTAGACTGAGAGTGACTGGCCCAAGGTCACCCAGCAAGCTTCTATGGTAAAGAGGATTCAAATTTGGTTTTCCCAGATCATAGCTTGATGCTGCACCCACCACACCAGGCTGGCTCTCTAAAAATGAATAATATAAGTAAATAAATAAACACAGAAATGAATATCAGACCCCTAGCTGTATCAAACCAAAATCCATCTAGTCCAGCAACCGGTTACCTCTGAAAGCAGGGCAGAGGCCAAGGTGTTCCCTCTCGTTATCCCTGCAAAACAACTGGTATTTACAGGTACACTGCATCTGAATGTGGAGGTTCCATTGACTCATTGTGGCTAAAAGGCATTGATGGACCAGTCTTTCTTGAATATGCCAGTATAGAATATAGAATACAGGTCAGGATATAGGATCAAGATTTGAGAGATTTCACGTTCAAATCCCCCACTCTGCAGTGAAGCTCTTCACAGAGAAGTGACAAGCCTGTACGCTCCCCCCCCCCCCCCACCTCCTCCCCTTGGTTGAATGCAGATGCACTAAATAGAGCATTTGCCTGAAGCCTTTTTAAAGGCACCTAAGCGAGCGGCCCTCGCTAGGCCGTGTGGCAGTAAGTTCCATGACCGAACGATGCTCTTGCGGAACTACTTGCTCTATGCCTGCTGCTTGACAGAGAGGCTGTTGGAGGCACAAGGGCTGTGCAGAAAGCTGGCAGTCCCCACGGAAGCGGGTGGATGGGAACAGGCGAAGCTGTCACTCACATCAACCCCTCAGGCAGAGCAGAGCTTCCTCCCACCCCAGACAGTGATTTCGACCGTCACCTGTGAGCAGCAGAAGCGGCGCTTGTAGACGGCAGCTTGAAGAGGAGGTGGAGGAGGCAGGCTGGGGTGCCGGGAGACGAGTGAGTGGCGCTCCCTCCTCCTCCTCTTCTTCTTCTTCAGCCTTCTCAAGCGCATTGCCTCCCCTCAGCAGCCCAACCCAACCCGTTTCCTAGGCAGCGCTCACAAGAAGATGCCGCCGCCGCCTCATTCGACATTGGGCCAGGGGCGGGAACGCAGAGCTGCGTCAACGTCTCACCACTTTGGTGAATCCCCTTGGAAACCCCGCAACTGAAAGCGCCCTCACAACACAAACCTCGCCTGGAGAGAGGGTCATGGGGAATGAAGTTCGAAACGTCATTGGACCTGTGGTAGAGCACGTCTCTAGAAAACTACAACTCCCAGGATGCCTTGCGCATCAGCCCGCGTCTTGGGCCTCACTTTTTTTTTTTTTTTTTAAATTTAAACGCCGTTCCGCGATCCGCCAGTGTTGCCGTGGAGCCGGCTTGTATAGAAGGGCGTGGGTGGTTTCTAAGGGACGGTGCGAGTGAAGGAATACTGTGAGAGAGACGGGTCAGGGTCAACAACACGAGATTGTGTTCTGTTCAAGCTTTTTTAATGCGGAGGGCTGTGTGGTATATTGTACTGTAGAGATCCTTAGACGCTTGATCGAATGTATAGTTAGTTTTGAAGAAAGGTGCGCTGTGTTCAGTGTGATTTATTCTCAAAAATACTGGTTCGAGTGATGGACTAGGACTGGGGAAAGGTTTCATATCCCCACTCAGCCATGACAGGAGCTGAATAACTTTAGAAAAGGTTATACGGCATTATTGGTCCTTGCAGAATCCAAAACCCAGAACAATATCCATATGATACCTTTTATTAGGACCAAATTGACACAAAACATTGTGCAAGCTTTTTGCCTCACCAGAATTCTTCATCAGGCTGGATGTTAGAAAATTTTAAAAAGATGCAGGTCCACAGAAAGTGCTATAAGGTGTTATTATGCCAGCAATAAAGTTCAGCTAGTTGCCTGCTTGAGGATACATCAAATAAAGCTCCACAGTAGTACAATTCCTAAGCAACTCTTATTATTTCAATATACTATTCAGGCCAATACAATACAATAGTTACACAGACAAGTTAAGAACTTGAAGGGAACAATGCATCCCCAAGTGTGGCTTCACTGTTCAGGGGTGGAAAACGGCTTCTCAATTCCAAACTGGAAAAACAAATGTCCATGAAGCAAGTAAGTCCAATCTTTGACTTGAGGCAAACACAAAATGATGAACCGCAGTCGACCCACTCTAGATATTAATGGGTTGTTGATCCCTTCCTCAGGACTGCACCCAGATGGGCAAGTAATGCCTCCAAAAAGGCTTTGTTTTGCAGCAACAGGAACTCCCTCAGAACAATGTCTCTAAACAGAATTATAACAGTAACGTTCACAATACTATGAATAACAAACATCAAGATTAACTTGCGAATAAAATATCTTACCAAAACTGCCTTATTTGTCCTTATTCATGATGAACATGTGGCCTCACTTTGCAGGCATTCTCTCATCTAAGCATGTAAAGACGGCTCTTAGGGACTGGCAAGCCTCTCCTAATACTTAAAGCTTGTCTGTGTCTCCAGGTGCAAACTACCTAATCAGCTTATCAGTGATGTCAGTTTAGAGAAAAGCACTCAAATCTACATATGCATTAAGTCCCAAAGGTTTGCATGCTTCTAACTTAAAGATAAATTCCACTTCCTTTTGTAGCAAAATGTTTTGCACATTTTCCTTTTTAAAGGTGTTGTGTTAAAGGTGTTGCATACCTTTCTCTTGTACTTTTCTGGTTTTTTAAATCCTAGTCCTATTGCATTGTTTATTGGATGTCTTATGCTGTCTGATTACATTGAGTCTCAGCAAAGAAAAGTGATCTATAAAATAAAATACACAAAACAATGTGAAAATTGTCATTATTTCAGATGCACTCAAGTAGGTCTGTGAAGCCTGAATAGTTACATGCTGACCAGTAGACAGTGTTCAGATTCTTTCTTCTTGTTCAGGAGCTACGCATAAACAAAAGTAGACAGTGTTCAGATTCTTCTTGTTCAGGAGCTACGCATAAACAATTAAAATAATTGATATTCTGCCTTTCCCTTGTTGCTAAAAGCATACACAATACACAACAAAACCACATGAATCTCTCTACCAATGAAAATTGCCTCCAGTTTAAACCCCATTAGAAGCCCTAGCAATAAAATGGCTTTATAGCACTTTACAAGGACCCTGTGCTCCTCGCCTCCTCCAGAAGCATGTTCCACAAGGTGGTAGCCACTACTGGAAAGGACAGGGTTCTAGTAGATGCCAAATGTGTACCCTTACATGGGGGAGTAACCAGAAGGTGGCAACGAGAGAACCATAACTGGTACAGGGGAACATATGAGACAAGACAGCCAACATGGCATTCAGTGCTTAATCTGATAAACATGAAACTATATTCTTGAGGAGGGGTGAGGGAAGTGGTTGCTAGTGATATTGCAAAGTTCAGTAACTGTGGATAGTAACAGTTTGGACAGCCTCCTTTAGTTAATGTGGATGCTACACTAACTGTTCTACAAAATGTTTATCGGTAGCCACATACTGGCTCGACTGGCAAGGCAGTTACTGTACACATCAAATAGTGCAGAATGCCTTCAATTGATGATATAAATGGCACATTAGTTTAGAGGGTTTTTAAAAAATGTTAATAAAACATAAAAAAACTGCTAGGTGGTTCTGGGGGGCACAATCCAGTGAGTTTAAGCCACACTCACTTGTGTGCCAGATGGTGGTCATATATACAGAAAGATAAGGATTTAATGCATTTAAATTTAACAAAAGTGTATATGTATCTGCAGCTTCAAAGTCAGATATGGAAAATAAGTTTATGGCATTGACAGTAAACAGAGACACTGAGGGCAAATAACAGGAGGGACTTTGGGCCTTCATGCCCTACTAGAAGGATTTTAAGACACATTACACTGACCAATGTTAGAAATAAAACAGGTTCAGGTTCCACAGGAGAACAATGATTTAGTTTACAGTTTCCTCCCCCACCAGATAAATTTGCTTGTCCCCAAGTAGAGGGTGCAGTTTTAAAAACCTCTGAACAATAAGAATTTTGCGCCCAGTACACTGGCATTTGTCCACTCAAGCTGTTGGCTCACCTGCTGAGGTGTTTTGGAATATACACAAACGTAATAGTGATACACAGTAACACACTATGAATTTCCTACTTGAAAATTTTGAGGCCTCCATAGGGCCAGAAAAGGTGCTCTGTGAAAGGGAACACATTTTTCAAATTATGGCTTAGATCACCTGACATTAGGATCCTTGCTCAGACTTCTTTGGTTACTTCTGTGCCAAGAAGGAGGGAAAACCATATAAAATAAGTTTTTGGCTTCCTTTCAGAATTATTATTGGCATATTAAAAGGAAGGGGCTGATATTGGGTGGGGAACGAAGAAGGAATCTGAGTATCAAGGTTAGTTTTAAAAGCATTTAATGACATAGCATATATTTAACAGATAGGGTAAAAGTCTAAAGGTACAGTTCCATACAACCGAAAGCCAGTTCCAGTACTATCCTGACTACAGGCCCAGTCACTGAAAAGTCATTCCTATTAAATGTAAATTTTGTTTTTTGATTGTGCAGTAAGATGAAAATTGTTCATTACAATAGTTACAGTGACAGAGAAATGCACACTATGTATCAAAGAGCAAAGGTAATGTAGCAAAATTATAACACAGTGTAGCAGCAGACAAGCAAGTAACCATTGGAGTAACATTACTTTTTTTCCAGTAAATGCTTCAGTTCCACTTTTACACTTAATCAATGATTTTAAAGGGTTTTTTTATTATACATCTAGTCTTATTATACTTTTTACTAGAATTATCTGAAACATACAATATAATGTATTTCAGCAAAAAAGAGAGAGAGAAAGAGAGAGAGAGAGAGCTGAAATTACAGATTATTTAAAACCGTTATCAGTATGCTAAGTCCTTCGTTGTCCATACCAACATTCTTAACTGTCATTGCCAGATGCAGGAAAAAAGCCTCACAATCGTGTTAATAATAAACAGATGCCTGGATACAAATGATTTTGGTCTGCAAGTTAATGCTGGGCTGCACTCAGTTACGGCAAAAGAGAATATGCTACCCATTTCATTAAAGGTTAGATTCGCAGTGGGGAGAATCAACTTGTCAAGACTCAGTGCAACCACTTTTGATGGAAGTGAAAAAAAAAGTGTACATTTGTCTCCGATGGGAGTGTTAACTTTGTAAGCACCGCTGCCTTGCATATCAATGACACTGAGGTATGGGGGGAAGGGAGGGGGTTGTTTTTCCAAGACAGCCTCACAAAATTGAGGAACAGTTTAAATAGTAAGATCTAATCTACATTAACTTCATTTTAAAAAAAAGAGAGAAAAGAAAAAGAAAACTGGTTCTCTCTTACACAGAAGCTGCCCAATGCACCTCAGTCATTTGTAACTTTAGAATCTTTTTGTGTATTTTTTTTAAAATGCTCTATAAATAAAAAAAATTAAATCACATTGAGGAACATTAGGCACGGAGAGTAATGTATTGGTTCTGAGCTTGCATGCTGGAATTCCACTGGAACGGTCGGAGAAGTGCAGCGTGTAGGATAGGTGGGAGTTCACTTCTTTTTCCCAAAAAGGCTGAAACGCTTCTCTTTGTCTTTCTCTTTGTCTTTCTCCCGCTTGCCGGGACTGGATTCGCTGGTTATTGTAACGCTGGCTGGCAGGGTCTGGGCACGGCTCGTAGCTGGGGTGCTCTGTGTGCTTGCAGACACATCAATTTTGTCCGAAGAGATTGCGGAGGTGATGGCCTGGATCCATGTGTTCATATCCTCCTGCAAGAAGCATTAATGTTACTATACATACGCATAAAGAACACTCTAGGGCTCCATCAGCTTCCCTGTAGGGTTTTTTCTTAATGTTTTACAAGTGGATTTTTAGATGAAAAACTTGCAAAAAACAGCTGATGAGCTGAAGGAAGCAAAAATGGCAAGTTCATTTAAATGAAGGGCTCTTCTGAATGACACCTGGAGACTGCAAGCTGGAAATATTATTGCAGCTTGAGATCTGGTGAAACGATCTTTCCTTTTCTCACTCCGCTCTTGTGCCTCCAAAAGGGAAACATGGGAAACATCCTCAGTTAGGGTGAGCAACCTGTCTTGAGCCTCCAGAAAAATATATATCTATTGCAGCAGAGAAGGGC